CTTCTCTATGTTGATGACATTATTGTCACTGGAAGTGCCTCACCTCTTATCTCCTCATTCATCGAGGCTATGCAACAGGAATTTCAAATGAAGAATCTGGGTCCTCTTCACTACTTCCTTGGACTCGAGGTCACACGCACAAAGGATCGCCTGCTTCTGTCCCAAGAAAAATATGCCCGTGAACTCCTCCATAAAGCAGGAGTCGAAGATTGCAAACCGGCCCCCACGCCCCTACCCGTACGGCAGCCCGAGGAGGGGGTGAGCCGTCCGTTCGACAATCCCACCTTTTTCCGAAGCTTAGTTGGCTCTCTCCAATATTTGACAAACACACGTCCGGACATTCAGTTTGCTGTAAATTATGTTTGTCAAAGGATGCATGCACCCACTGAGCAGGATTTCCAGTCCTTGAAACGCATCCTCCGATATGTCAAAGGAACCATTGATCATGGTTTGGTCTTCCGGCGAGGCCCACAAACCATTCATGCATATTCTGATTCTGATTGGGCTAACGATATGACAGATGGACGGTCCGTTACAGGTTACTTGATATATTTTGGCTCGAATTTACTCTCTTGGAGTACAGAGAAACAGAGTCGTGTCTCACGCTCGTCCACCGAAGCCGAGTATAGAGCTCTCTCAGCCGCAGCAGCTGAGGTAATGTGGCTCACCTATTTGTTTGACATTTTACAGATCAAGCTCCCTCCTCCACATCTTCTATGCGACAACCAGTCCACCATCTGTTTGACTAAGAATCCGGTCTTCCATAAACGCATGAAACATGTCGGAACTGATTGTCACTTTGTACGAGAACAAGTAATCGAAGAGAAAATGACAGGCTCTTATGTTCCTTCAAATGAGCAGCTGGCAGACCTTCTCACAAAAGCTCTTGCCTCGCCACGCTACACTGCACTTGTTGCCAAGCTTCCTCTCGTTTCACGGTGTTCAGCTTGAGGGGGGATGTTAGACATATATGGAAAGAAGTCTAGTTATAGCAGAATTGTATTTATGTTAGTTTACATATTTGGTGAATCCTAGTCCATGTAGGGATCCTCACCTATATAAACATCCTTGTACACAATTATTCTTTAAGAGTGAATACATAAATCAACATACCTGATACTTGCAGAGGCTCTATGCTTAGTATAATTGTCTCTCATCAGTGCAGTTGTCAAGAATCGAATTTGGGTCTTACCCTCTGGGCACCCTTGTCTTACCAACTATGCAACTGCGCTAGCCCCCCAAAAGAAAATTATTACCTATGTTGCATAAATTGGAGTATTCAGAAGTGCTCCAAATGATCAAATGTTATCTGTTGATACAGATTTACAGTGTCAACGTAATTTATCGATATAAATTTAGAGAGGATTGACATTTGTGTCTCATTGTAGTCGGTGGTTTATAGCATTATATATACTATTTATACAAATTCTTCTTGTAGAAACATTTCTCTCATTCACATTATTAAGAGAAGCTGAAACTTGAAAGCAACAAATTTCTCTTGAAACTCGAGACTTTTAGTGCGTGGAGCCTCCTTTGACTATTTCTCACTCAATTTTTAAAACCATTAGCCTCTACCATTCATGTATCTGGACAAATTTTGTAAAAAATTACATTAAATAGGATTTGAACATAAAAAAATATTAAAATAGAAGTGTTAGCGTTATGTATATATGTTTTATTGTAATTTTGTATATTGGGCTAGTGATGTTGGGCCCGTAACTCATGTATATATATTCTACTGTATCAAGGAAACAACCAACCAATTCAGTTCATAATATTCTACATGGTATCAGAGCCTCTTTTCTGGGAAGTCACGTAAAACCCTAGGGGTCTCCATTTTCTATCGTCGTCGTCACCGTACCAGTCCCATCGCCAGCCGGTTTTTCGTCGTCGCCGGCCTCGTGTGTCGCCAGGGAACGTCGTCGGTCCAGCAGGTCCTCCCTCCATCGTCAGTTCTTCGTCTTCATCGCGTATCATCATGTCAGCCGACGGGAACTCAAACCCTAAGAAGACAAGATTGATTCACGATCCGTCGTCAATATACTATCTTCATCCTTCTGAAGGTCCCGGTAACTCTTTGACCAAATATCTGTTGAAAAGTGATAATTTTGATATTTGGGAAAAGGCAATTCGTAATGCTCTTTGTGGTCGTGGTAAATCTGTTTTTTTATCCCCCGGCGGTATTCCCAAACCTACCGATGAACATGAGTTGTCTGCGTGGTCTGCCAATAATCAAATAATTTGTAGTTGGATCTTCAATAGTGTTGACGAATCCATCCAGCCTAGTATTGTGTCTCACTCTGTTGCCTCTGTGCTATGGGAGGATTTGAAGAAACGTTATGGTTGTTCTAATGGTCCTCGTGTATATCAATTGAAGTCTGAATTGAACTCCTTGCGCCAAAAGGGACAAACATTTGTCTCGTACTATAATCAGTTCATCACTTTATGGAATCAACTCCATGGCACGTCTGATCCCACTAATGGCTGCAAATGTGAGGCGGCAGCCCTCACGCGTGCACGTATAGAACGAGATAAAACTATTGATTTTTTGCTTGGATTGGATGATGAACAGTTTGGTCCCATTCGGTCCCAAATTCTTGGCACCGAACCAGTTGTTGATATTGATCGTGCATATTTTTTAGTCACTCAGGAAGAGCGTCACCGTCATATTGTGCGTGCTCGTGATGATCGCACGGATTCAGTTGCGTTTGCTGCTAAGACGGATCGACATCCTTCCCCGTATGGAAAACCGTTATGCTCTCACTGTGGTCGCACCAATCACAGTGTGGAAACGTGTTTTGAGATCATAGGTTTTCCACCACAGTACGGCCGGGGAGGAGGAAATCGGGGTGGTTCCACCTGCGGTGGTCGTGGCGCTGGTCTACCCGCCGGCAGAGGAGGCCGTGGGTCTGGCGGCATTCTGGGAAGTAAGCCAGCCCAGTCCGGCAGTGGGTCGGCTGTCGTCCCGGCTCCTGCAGTTCATGCCGCATCGGGTGATGCGAACAGTTCTCTCAGCGATCAAATGAGCCGTCTCATGTCCATGTTGGAAGCATCCGCCTCACACACCTATTCGGGTAAAGTGTTCTCTCCTTGTGAATGGCTTATTGATAGTGGTGCATCTCATCACATGACGGGTAATTTGTCCCATTTATTTAATCTTGTGGATGTTCCTCCTCACCCCATATGTCTACCCGATGGTTCTCGCATTCAAGCTACAAAGCAGGGAAGTGTTCAATTATCGCCTCATTTGGTGCTTCATCATGTTTTCTTTGTTCCCACTTTGTATTGTCACTTAATATCTGTTGGTTGCTTAATACGAGATACTACTTGTCATGTAATTTTTAATGATCATGGTTGTGTAATACAGGACCGTTCGTTGAAGATGGTGATTGGACAGGGTGAACTACGGAACGGAGTCTATCATTTTGCTTCTCCTCTTGCGTCGGCCAGGGCTACCCAACTTGACCCATTTCTTCTTCATCAACGTTTGGGTCATCCGTCACCTAATATTTTGTCATTCTTTAATTTTAATAAGTCCCAGTCTGTTGTCAAGAAACTTCAAACATGTGAAATTTGTTTTATGTCTAAACAAACTCGGTCTTCTTTTTCTATCAGCCATAATAAAGCTCAGGCCATTTTTGATTTAATTCACTGTGATTTATGGGGGCCTTATACTGCTTGTTTATCATCTGGTGCTCACTATTTTCTCACTATTGTGGATGATTTTTCCCGGGCTGTTTGGGTGTACCTTATTCGTTCGAAGGGTGAAGTCACCTCTTGTCTTCAACGTTTTTTCTCAATCATTCACACCCAATATTCCAAAGTCATAAAGATTGTTCGTTCTGATAATGGTACTGAATTTCTTAATACTCCTTTACGCCAATATTATGACTCTATGGGGGTATGTATACAAACTTCTTGTGTTGGTACCCCACAACAAAATGGCCGGGTTGAGCGTAAACATCGTCATATCTTAAACGTTGCTCGCTCTCTTATGTTTCAAGCCTCTTTACCAGTTGAGTTTTGGGGGGAGTGTGTTAAAACAGCAGTATATCTAATCAACAGAACCCCCACCAAACTTCTTGACGGCAAATCCCCGTTGGAGATTTTATCGTCAAAGCCTCAAGATTTAAGTCATCTT